TCTCACTGATCAACGAGGACAGTTACTCTTTCTGATCAACGAGGACAGTTACTCTTTCTGATCAACGAGGGTAGTTACTCTTACTGATCAACGAGGGTAGTTACTCTTACTGATCAACGAGGGTAGTTACTCTTACTGATCAACGAGGGTAGTTACTCTTACTGATCAACGAGGGTAGTTACTCTTACTGATCAACGAGGACAGTTACTCTTACTGATCAACGAGGGTAGTTACTCTTACTGATCAACGAGGGTAGTTACTCTTACTGATCAACGAGGGTAGTTACTCTCACTGATCAACGAGGGTAGTTACTCTTACTGATCAACGAGGGTAGTTACTCTTACTGATCAACGAGGGTAGTTACTCTTACTGATCAACGAGGGTAGTTACTCTTACTGATCAACGAGGGTAGTTACTCTCACTGATCAACGAGGACAGTTACTCTTTCTGATCAACGAGGGTAGTTACTCTTACTGATCAACGAGGGTAGTTACTCTTACTGATCAACGAGGACAGTTACTCTTACTGATCAACGAGGGTAGTTACTCTCACTGATCAACGAGGACAGTTACTCTTTCTGATCAACGAGGGTAGTTACTCTTACTGATCAACGAGGGTAGTTACTCTTACTGATCAACGAGGACAGTTACTCTTACTGATCAACGAGGGTAGTTACTCTCACTGATCAACGAGGACAGTTACTCTTTCTGATCAACGAGGGTAGTTACTCTTACTGATCAACGAGGGTAGTTACTCTTACTGATCAACGAGGACAGTTACTCTTACTGATCAACGAGGGTAGTTACTCTTACTGATCAACGAGGACAGTTACTCTTTCTGATCAACGAGGGTAGTTACTCTTACTGATCAACGAGGACAGTTACTCTCACTGATCAACGAGGACAGTTACTCTTTCTGATCAACGAGGGTAGTTACTCTCACTGATCAACGAGGACAGTTACTCTTTCTGATCAACGAGGGTAGTTACTCTTACTGATCAACGAGGGTAGTTACTCTTACTGATCAACGAGGACAGTTACTCTTACTGATCAACGAGGGTAGTTACTCTTACTGATCAACGAGGACAGTTACTCTTTCTGATCAACGAGGGTAGTTACTCTTACTGATCAACGAGGACAGTTACTCTTACTGATCAACGAGGGTAGTTACTCTCACTGATCAACGAGTACAGTTACTCTTTCTGATCAACGAGGGTAGTTACTCTCACTGATCAACGAGGACAGTTACTCTTTCTGATCAACGAGGGTAGTTACTCTTACTGATCAACGAGGGTAGTTACTCTTACTGATCAACGAGGACAGTTACTCTTACTGATCAACGAGGGTAGTTACTCTTACTGATCAACGAGGACAGTTACTCTTTCTGATCAACGAGGGTAGTTACTCTTACTGATCAACGAGGACAGTTACTCTCACTGATCAACGAGGACAGTTACTCTTTCTGATCAACGAGGGTAGTTACTCTTACTGATCAACGAGGGTAGTTACTCTTACTGATCAACGAGGACAGTTACTCTTACTGATCAACGAGGGTAGTTACTCTTACTGATCAACGAGGACAGTTACTCTTTCTGATCAACGAGGGTAGTTACTCTTACTGATCAACGAGGACAGTTACTCTTACTGATCAACGAGGACAGTTACTCTTACTGATCAACGAGGGTAGTTACTCTTACTGATCAACGAGCACAGTTACTCTTTCTGATCAACGAGGGTAGTTACTCTTACTGATCAACGAGGACAGTTACTCTCACTGATCAACGAGGGTAGTTACTCTTACTGATCAACGAGGGTAGTTACTCTTACTGATCAACGAGGGTAGTTACTCTTACTGATCAACGAGGGTAGTTACTCTTACTGATCAACGAGGGTAGTTACTCTTACTGATCAACGAGGGTAGTTACTCTTACTGATCAACGAGCACAGTTACTCTCACTGATCAACGAGGACAGTTACTCTTACTGATCAACGAGGGTAGTTACTCTTACTGATCAACGAGGGTAGTTACTCTTACTGATCAACGAGGGTAGTTACTCTTACTGATCAACGAGGGTAGTTACTCTCACTGATCAACGAGGGTAGTTACTCTCACTGATCAACGAGCACAGTTACTCTCACTGATCAACGAGCACAGTTACTCTCACTGATCAACGAGCACAGTTACTCTCACTGATCAACGAGGACAGTTACTCTTACTGATCAACGAGCACAGTTACTCTCACTGATCAACGAGCACAGTTACTCTTACTGATCAACGAGCACAGTTACTCTCACTGATCAACGAGCACAGTTACTCTCACTGATCAACGAGCACAGTTACTCTTACTGATCAACGAGCACAGTTACTCTTACTGATCAACGAGCACAGTTACTCTTACTGATCAACGAGCACAGTTACTCTCACTGATCAACGAGCACAGTTACTCTCACTGATCAACGAGCACAGTTACTCTCACTGATCAAAGACATAAGTATCTAATTCTGCAAAATACCTTAATCCTAACACCTAAATTATAACATAAAACAAAATTTATAACACCTATAAATTATGGACATAAAACATTATAAAATGAAAAAGAGAGTAATGGAGTGAGAGAGAGAAGCTATGGTACAGCTCAAAGGGTCATTCTCAATCAAATATAATTTGATTTAACTATAAGTGATGCAGGAGGTGAAGGGCAGAGTGGTCAACCCTCAAGTGGTCCCTTCTTGGGCTGTTATGTCTTTATTGTATGTGGTCATTCACACACACACACACACACACACACACACACACACACACACACACACACACACACACACACACACACACACACACACACACACACACACAAGTCTTTGCTTTGCTTGCCTCGCAAGCAAGGCAAAGACTCAGCCTAAATTGCTGCATAGCCACATCAGGAGAAAAACAACAGTAAAAGAACAGGTAATGAAATTAAGGATAGGGGCAGAAGGATTCACTACAAATGACAAGGAAGTGTGTGAGGAACTGAATAAGAAATTCCAGGAGGTCTTCACCTTAGAGCAAGGAGAAATCCCAGAGATAAGAGAGGGAATAGCTGACCAGGAACTACTGGAAGAGTTGGAGATTGCCAGCGGGAAAGTAAGGAAGTGTTTACTAGAGTTGGATGTGACAAAGGCTATAGGCCCAGATGGAATCTCCCCTTGGATACTAAAGGAAGGAGCAGAAGAACTGTGCCTACCACTCTCCATAGTGTATAACAAATCTCTGGCAACAGGAGAACTGCCAGAAATTTGGAAAGCAGCTAACGTAGTTCCGATATACAAGAAAGGGGATAGACAGGAGGCACTGAATTACAGGCCAGTGTCCCTAACCTGCATACCATGCAAGCTGACGGAGAAGATTGTGCGAAGAAAGCTAGTGGAGCATCTGGAGCGAAAGAACTTTGTAACACAGCATCAACATGGGTTCAGGGATGGCAGGTCCTGCCTCACAGGGTTACTTGAATTCTACGACCAGGCAACAAAAATAAGGCAAGAAAGAGAAGGGTGGGCAGACTGCATATTTTTGGATTGTCAGAAAGCCTGTCATCCTTAACTGTCGCCTCTCACTTGTCACCCTCACCTGTCCCCCTCATCTGTCACCCCCACCTTTCACCCCCTCCTGTCACCCTCACCTGTCACCCTCAAGTGCCACACAAGAGGCTAGTGAAAAAGCTGGAGATGCAGGCTAGAGTGAAAGGGAAGGTACTTCGTTGGATACAGGAGTACCTAAGCAACAGGAGACAACGAGTCAGTGTGAGTGGTGAAGTCTCAGATTGGCGAGACGTTACGAGTGGAGTCCCGCAGGGGTCAGTCCTTGGACCTATACTGTTTGTGATATATGTAAATGATCTCCCAGAGGGTATAGAATCGTTTCTCTCAATGTTTGCCGATGATGCAAAAATTATGAGGAGGATTGAAACTGAGGACGATAGTAGGAGGCTACAAGATGACCTAGACAGACTGAGTGAATGGTCCAACAAATGGCTGTTGAAGTTCAACTCGAGTAAATGCAAAGTAATGAAACTAGGCAGTGGAAACAGGAGGCCAGACACAGGATACAGAATAGGAGATGAAGTACTTAATGAAACGGACAGAGAGAAAGATCTAGGAGTTGATATCACACCAAACCTGTCTCCTGAAGCCCACATAAAAAGAATAACGTCTGCGGCATATGCGAGGCTGGCTAACATCAGAACAGCGTTCAGGAACCTGTGTAAGGAATCATTCAGAATCTTGTACACCACATATGTAAGACCAATCCTGGAGCATGCGGCCCCAGCATGGAGCCCGTACCTTGTCAAGCACAAGACGAAGCTGGAAAAAGTCCAAAGGTATGCCACTAGACTAGTCCCAGAACTAAGAGGCATGAGTTACGAGGAAAGGCTGCGGAAAATGCACCTTACGACACTGGAAGACAGAAGAGTAAGGGGAGACATGATCACAACCTACAAAATCCTCAGAGGAATCGACCGGGTTAACAAGGATAAACTATTCAACACTGGTGGGACGCGAACAAGGGGAAACTGATGGAAACCGAGTACCCACATGAGCCACAGAGATATTAGAAAGAACTTTTTTAGTGTCAGAGTGGTTGACAAATGGAATGCATTAGGAAGTGATGTGATGGAGGCTGACCCCATACACAGTTTCAAATGTAGATATGATAGAGCCCAATAGGCTCAGGAACCTGTACACCTGTTGATTAACGGTTGAAAGGCGGGACCAAAGAGCCAGAGCTCAACCCCCGCAAGCACAACTAGGTGAGTACAACTAGGTGAGTACAACTAGGTGAGTACAGCCCAGTTAGAAAGGCGGAGTCCAAGAGCTAATAGCTCGATTCTGCAGGCACAAATAGTAAAATACAAACAGTAAATATCACAGTATGAGTTAACCATCCTAGAGTTCACTAGGAGCAGTGTTGATGTTGGTGATGCAAGTGTATGACATGAGACTAAGGGCGCGGCCCTCCTCCAGGGAGCCACCTGGGCTGCGTGACGGAGTTCGACGGGCTGGGCGGGGAGCTGGGCCACGCGCTCAGGCCCGACCATGACGCCCAGATCCACATGGACGACGACGAGCACTTCACCCTCGACTCCGACCACGGCACCAACCTCGTCAAGGTCAGTCACAACCCCACACCTTCCTTACTGTCTTCGTCAGTGTGTGTGTGTGTGTGTGTGTGTACACACACACACACACACACACACACACACACACACACACACACACACACACACACACACACACACACACACACACACACACACACACACACACACACACACACTGCAGCAGGCTCTAGGAACATTAACTTACTTAAGTATTGTGAACAGGTTGAGGGCTGTAAGTGCTGTCCCAAGTTACATAAAGGTTGAGGGAGGCTGAAAAGTTAATAAGATACAAGAAATAAATGAAAGTGAGTAAAAGTTATGTGTTGGAAATTTTATATTCCACAACAAACGATCGTCAATAACAAAGATGGCCGCCACCATGGGGAATGTAAACACACCAACAGATGATTGTTTCTGAGGATTCTCACCACAAGATATAATGAAAGGAGGTTTTCTTGGCAGGTCAGAGATAACTGAGAATATTCTAAAGAAGTATGAAAAAAAAAGCACTTGGATTAGAAATAAGAAAATGGAGCTCAAAGGAGTGAGTTTCGGACTTTAAAAGGAAGTATTCTTAAACATGGTTAGAAAACTACTGCTTTAACCAATAAGGTAAGGAGACAGAAGGAACTAGTGAAAGACAATGAGGTATGGAAAGTGGTGCATTTGAAGAAAATAGCAAAAAAATACTCATATGGTGAACAACTCCAAGAAACCCTAAATCAAATCAAATCAAATCAAATCAAATGTTTATTTAGGTAAGGTACATACATACAAGAGATTTTACAAAGAGTGATGGATTTATAGATAGAGCTAGTACATACAATGCCTAAAGCCACTATTACGCAAAGCGTTTCGGGCAGGAAAAACTTAAATGACTAAAGCTTAATACTAATTGAGCATAAAGAGTAAAATGAGTTGAGAACAAATAAAAAAAAAGAGATAAAAAGGGGGGAACATGGCTGAAAAAGCAGCACAAATACAATTCTGTCGACAAACAGCGCTCTTTAAAAAAAAAAAAACAGACATTGGTTGACAATAGAGAGGTAAGGTAGGTTACAGGGAATTTATTAGGTATAGCTTCGTTTTTATCTTAAACTGGTTGAGAGAGGTACAGTCTTTAACATGGTTGGGAAGGTCATTCCACAATCTGGGTCCCTTGATTTGTAGAGCATTTCTAGTTTGATTAAGTCGTACTCTAGGAATATCAAAACTGTATTTATTTCTGGTGTGGTGCTCATGGGTTCTGTTACAACCTTCTATGAAGCTTTTGAGATCAGGATTGGCATTACAGTTCAGCGTTTTATATATGTATAATACACATGAGAGAATGTGCAGTGACTTAATGTCTAACATATTCAGAGATTTGAGTAGGGGTACCGAGTGATGTCTGGGGCCAGAGTTGGATATTGTCCAAATAGCAGCTTTGTGTTGAGTAATTAGAGGACGTAAATGATTTTGGGTAGTAGAACCCCAAGCACAAATACCATAGTTGAAATATGGATAGATGAGGGAGTAATAGAGTGTCACCAAGGCAGGGCGGGGTACATAATATCTGATCTTAGAAAGGACGCCTAAAGGCCAACATAGGATATGCAAGGATATGCAAAGATAAATAGAATTGACAACTCGCATAGAGGAGGTTAATAAAGAACTAGAAAAATACAAAGAAGAAATAACAGAGACGTATGAGCTCCAAAACCTCACTAATACCCTTCGTCTTCTTGACATAAAGCTCACCTTTCGACACACTCTTCGTAGTAATCTGGTTCACACTTTTCCTCCTGCTTCTAATACTGCTGGTGTCTACTCTTTTTCCTGTTTGTCTTGTCCTCTCCAATACTTTGGTGAAACTGGCCGTACACTAAATGACAGACTTAAGGAACACAAGAGAAGTGTTAAGTCTGCAGACATAAACAATGCTCTTTTCTGCCATGTTAGGGATTCTTATCATCCTGTTGATTGGTTTTCTTCTAAAATAGTTTTCCTGCCTCTACACAGACGCCATTTTGTCGACTCAGCTCTGATACACAACCTACCCAACATGAACTTGAGTCTTGACATTGTTGCTGTTGACTCTTTCCTTTCACAGTACATACTCAAATGCTCTAAACTTTCTAACAAACATGACCTAACATAAACCTACCCATCCTCTTTCTCTTTCTTTTAATTTATCCTCATTTTCTTATGTTCCCTTTCTTACTCCTATTATTACACCTTACACCCCTTTATTACACCTATCCCATCTGTACCTCTCACCTTCTTCATACCGTCCTCAAAGATTTCCTCCTTCTCGCCTCTCTCTTGCCTTACTTAAAGCCCTTAATGTCGCCCTCGTCTCATCACCGTCGACTTGATAATGGTCCGGAACGGACCGAAAGGTCGTTGTCTCCTCTTTTTCTGGTGAGTGGTTTAGTCTTCATATCTTAAGCCACGTTATTGTGACTCATCATCAGAAAAGAAAGAACTAGATGACAAACGAGAGGGCCTCATAATAGTCATGAGGGAGATTATTGTACAAGCAGATAAAGATAAATCATGATTGCTGGTACTAAGGGACTTCAACTTAAAAGCAATAGACTGGGAGGCCTACGAAGCAAGAATAGAGTACATTTGGACAGTCAAATTTGTAAACCTCATTCTGGAGACATTCACGTATGAACACGTCAAGCAGGCCACAAGAATGAGGAAAGAGGATGTTCTGTCAATACCGTATCTAATATTCACCAGGAAAGAAGAAGAAATATTTTGACATCCAGCACCTTTGTCCCTTGGGAAATTTGATTGTTGCCGCCTTCAAGGCGGCTAGTTTATTGTGCACCCCATACTCATCCTGTGAGCGGTAGCGCAAAAAGCATTACAGAGGGCACAAAAGGTCTTTATCAGACCTCATCTTAGATTATTACATAAACAATTTCATCTATCCTTCACACCTTATAGTTACAATGTCAGCTAGTTACAGAGAAAGTGGTATTTCAAGAGCTATATATTTACAGTAAGTCATCATACATTAATGATAGGTCTTGTCGTTAATACATAATAGTTTGGCCAATGGGGATATTACAGAGTCATAGGGGAGCTTCTGTTTATTATTAGTCCTCACAATACACTACTTGTTTCTGAATCTCATATGTCGTTCATCTACTGGAAGCAAAATGTGGGTACAATGCAAGGATTTCAGGTAATTTATCCATGGTAATAAGATAGGTTGCCATATCATACAGCGTGAGCTTAGATTTATTTCTAAATGGCTCAATTTTACTACAATCCAAGATATAGTGTTACAGGATTGGTTCAACAGAAATTGTGAGAGGGACAGAGAGGAAAAGACAACAAAATGGGAGTCAATATAGGAAGAGTCCTAACCCACAAACATACCAGCATTACCATCAAGCAAGAAACAATTACACAACAGTGAGGAGAGAGGACGAATGGAACTTTGGTAAAGGTAAAGCAGACTAATATAAAATAGATCCAGGCCTTTTCTATAAATTCATTAAAAGCAAGCTGCATGTAAAGGATAAAATTTAGAGATTGAGAACGGGGAACAGGACTACTGAGAATGAAAAAAAGTGTGAAATGCTAAATTAACAGTTTCAAAGTGTGTTTGTATAAAATGAGGATTTCAGAGCCGAACCCAATACCAATTCCAGAAAAAGCCATAGAATACATACAAGTATCTCAAGACGAAGTGGAAAAATTACACGAGGGGCGAGGAAGAAATAAAGCAGTTGGACTTGATGGAGTTTCACCTTGGGTGCTGCGAGAATGTGCAACTGAGCTGAGCATTCCACTCCAATTAATATTTCAAACATTCTTGTACACAGGAATCTTAGCAGATATATGGAAAAAGGCAAACCAAGTTCTAATCTATAAACATGGCAGTTGAGAGGACCCTCTGAATTATAGACCCATATCATTAACAAGCGTGGTAGTCAAAACACTAGAAAAAATTGTTAAAACCAAATGGAATGAACACCTAGAGAGTAACGATATAATAATGGACAGTAATTATGGTTTTCGAACAGTAAGATTCTAAGTAACAAATCTTTAGTTTTTATGATAGAGCCACAGAGATGTTACAGGAGAGAGGTGGTTGGGTTGACTGTGTCTACCTTGACCTAAAAAAGGCTTTTGATAGAGTCCCACACAAGAGGCTGTTCTGGAAGCTGGAACATGCTGGAGGGGTGACAGGGAGACTACTGACATGGATGTAAAACTTTCTTACTGACAGACAGACAGATGAGGGCAGTAATCAGAGACAATGTATGATTGGAGGAGTGTAACCAGCGGGAGTACCACAGGGTTCAGTTCATGCATCAGTAATGTTCATTATCTACATAAACGATCTACCAGAGGAATACAAAATTAATTGAACATATTTGCGGATGATGCTAAGATACTGGGGAAGATAAGAGGCGGAGACGATTGTAATGCCCTTTAAATTGATCTAGATAATATAAGTGCTTGGAGTGTCAAGTGACGAATGGAATTCCATGTGAATAAATGCCATGTTATGGAATGTGGATCCGGAAAAATTGAACCACACATAACTTACAAATTATGTGGAAAGGAATTACAGAACTCTAATAAAGAATGAGGCCTGGGAGTGGTGATAGTAAGTTGTCGCCAGAGGAACACATAAAGAACATTGTGTGAGGAGCGTATGAGAGAGAAGCACATAAATAAACTGGATAAGTTGTAGTGGCATGCTACAAAATGGTGGCGTTAAACATGCCAAAACTATAAGATAGAAGATAAAGAGGCGATACGATCACCACACACAAAATACTAACAGGAATCGACCAAATTGACAAAAAGGAATTCCTGAAACCAGCAACTTCACGAACAAGAGGACACAGATTCAAGCTAAGGAAACAAAGGTGCCGGAAAAATATTAGAAAGTTTTCTTTCACAGAGTGGTAGATGGTTGGAACAAGTTAGGTGAGAAGGTGGTGGAGACCAAAGCCGTCAGTAGTTTCAAAGTGTTATACGACAAATAAGTATAC